TACTTTCAAAAAAACTCAAGCTTGAATTTTATTTTGCTTCTTTTCAAAAAATAACTTCTAATTCCCTGTTTCAAGCCAAATTTCTTCACATGGAAACCCATTCAAGACATCCAAACGAAGCTATTCGGATAAAATGGATCTCTTTGTTAGCTTCTATGCATCGGACGTGTGCTGGAGAGTTTCTTTGTCAAAAATGGCTCTTGAGAGTGCGTGCACATGACCCCACCTGCACCTCACCTCTGACTTGCACCGCTTTGCAGGCTGTAACTCAGCCAGCAGTCACTCTGCGAGCACGCAGTAGGCTCATTCGAAAGAGCATGACTTCCTGGACACGATGGTGTGCAAAAGAGTTGGGTATGACAAACAGCGGAGAAATGGCGGATGGGGTGTTAAAGCGCAGCACTGGAGATGAATGGAGTGAAGGCTCCTATCAACACAAGAACAGTCGTAGAGCTCCGAAATGGATCTATTACACGAAAATTGACAGTTTTGAACTCCTAGGATGAAATTGGTAGCGAAAGGAGTCCTTTCTAACTTTAGCTGAAAAATCCTTAGCCTACCACTGAAGCTGCGCTTTGACACCCCATCCGCCATTTCTCCGCTGTTTGTCATACCCAACCCTTTTGCATACCATCGTGTCCAGCAAGTCATGCTCTTTCGAATGAGCCTACTTGCAGTCTCGTAGATTGACTGCCGGCTGAGTTACAAGCCTGCAAAGCGGTGCAAGTCAGTGGTGAGGTGCAGGTGGGGTCATGTGCACGCACTGTCAAGAGCCATTTTTGACAATGAAACTCTCCAGCACACGTCCGATGCATAGAAGATAACAAAGGGCATCCATTTTATCCGAATAGCTTCGTTTGATGTCTTGAATGGGTTTCCATGTGAAGAAATTTGGCTTGAAGCAGGGAATTAGAAGTTATTTTTTGAAAAGAAGCAAAATAAAATTCAAGCTTGAGTTTTTTGAAAGTAATCACTACCATATTATTGTCCTCAATGAGTTCTACAATATTCTATGCTTACCTGTCCGGAAAATTTCTGTTTTTGCCCCAAGAAAAGACCTAAAAGACAATTTTTGCGTTCGAAGAATTAATGTCCGCGAAATTGTGACGCGTCCTTTTCGGACTTTTTTCAGAAAAACATTTTTAAAATTTTCATAATACATGTTTTCCAGAAAGCGCGATGTGTGGGTTGTAGTTCTTGATGAGCTCTATCACCGCATGCAATCAGATCATTTTTTCATCTTTGTTTTCCATCTGGAAATGAGCGATGAAAAAAGGAAGGCGGCTTGTCCGCAACTTTTTGGCGGTCACTGTAACTTGACACGCTGAGTATGAACTCAGTTGCGTCCGTCACAGTCGTGCGGGCTACTGGTCTTATGGTGGACTGAGTTTGACACTCTCGTTTCGCTTTTCAGTACATTGCGCCAGGAAGGTCTAACGGGCAGCGTTTGACGAGACGTTTGGCGGTGTAGTGAAATTACGAATACCTACGATCCTTTTCAGACTCCTGACGAAGACGAATTGTTCGAAACGTTGAGTCAATAAAGTTCCACCAATTAACCTGGTTCCGGCATAAGAAAATCTTACACAACGATCAACGAAAATGCCCAGGTTCAAAGAAAAGAACACATGGAAATTGATTCGTTGACTTTTCAAAGAATGAAGGCATGCATTCGCCGCGAGGATGCCTGACTTTTGAAAAAAGCTTAGATGACGCAGTGCAAAACTGAAAACGTAAACGGATTTGAGCCTACACCTGCAACAACTTGTGAGATATCGCACTGACCTTTACACCACATCGTACTTGAAGTTAGCGTTGTGATCGTACTTCTCTTGGGCGGCCAAATTTGAGCGAAAATCCTTCATATCTTCTTTTAAAGAAGCGATGCAAAAACAGAAGTCAGATTCTGAATCAGCATTCCAAGGCGATTGTAATGGCATACATCTCATCTCAAAAGGCCAGAAACACACAATCTCGTTCCTTAGTAAGGTTTCAGTCTAAGCCTTCTCAAGCTTTTTTTCGATAAAATTTTTAGACGAGGGTACCACCGCGAACTTTAAAGAAACCTCCATCGAAATTTGGCTTTCCAGGAATCTCCCTATAGGGAAATATTGAACGAGATGCTAGCAACTTCCCGAACTTAGTTGCAGGAAAAATGTCGACAGCTCGTCGAAATTTGCGAAGTGGCAGCTGCCGGCAGGTCAGAGAAAAAAATAGCGTGGTCTCCTTGAGAGGAAGTTGCTGGCATCTCACGTGCCCCTACCACGTCGACGTACTGGCGCCTTGCTGGGGCGTCTGTGAAAGTGGGTAATGCGGCAATTTCACACAATTCATGTCGGGCAAAAGAATCAAAAAATTTTAGTTTTCACCAAAAACTATCAATTTTTCATAATACGAGTTTTCCCCTTTTGAATCAATGACTTCTTGTAGAAAAAAGTCCTGTCTCCCTTACTCATATCAGTCAGCTGTTCTTTTGGTCAAAAGTCTCTCACGCAATGTACTGATCATACACTGTTACAGGCGGCCAGTTACCTGCGCAGTTCTTCCAGTGGTGGTGCAAACGACAATCATTGACCGAGTGGTCGAATAATTAGTGCGAAGAAGCTCGAAGTTGGCGCCTGCGTTCGAACGCGCGCCAAGTCACTGTTTTGCTGTTGTCTGCGTCATCAAAATTTCATGCGCGGAGTGACCGCAGACTGAGATTATATAAGATTATTAGAACCTTCGAAATCCGCGAGCTGCCGCCAGAGAGCTTCGCGATATGTGCCATCTTGCCGGCATCTATGATACGACCAGGTAGGATAGATTACTACCGGCCCAGGCTGTCACGTGTACAGCATACTTTGGTCCAAATCGAACAAAAATTCGACCATTCGAGTGAAACAATCGAATATATTCACATTCGAGATTCGAAACTTGGAGTTTTTATTTTCGAACAATCAAAAAACGGGGTTTGAATAAAACCCGAAAACTCGAAAAATCAAAAAAAAAAATAACTCGAACAATCAAGAAGAGGGTTTCTAATAAACTTTGTTCGAACGTTTCATTCGAATCCGAAATTATCCGTATTCGAATCATCCGAGATGCAGAGCCAACTGCTGAGGACCAAGCTTGCTTCGTCTGCGCTTTCTTTTGCAAAACTCGATAATGCATCTTTTTACCTGGTCAGCTTTGAACTGCATGGAAATTCCTCCAACTGCCTGCGGCATTAAATAGGTGTGGATTTGAGTGTAGATCTGCTGCTTTGCTTTTACACTGTTGATTTTGATAAGAAAAAAAGTTATGTTCTCCTCATGTCCATAATATCCCAGCAATGCTTAGAAGAGTTTTTTGGAAAGTAGATTAATCACTTTGCCTTTATATTGTTGTTGATAAGAAATGAAGTGTTTGCCCTGTACATCATTCACATCCTGACGATGCTGAAGAACTTTCGGCGCACAGGATAGAAAGTTGGACCAATTGTTTTTTTAGACTGCTAAATTACGGGAAATACGAGTTTTTCGAGTGTACAAACTAGTTGCCAACCAACCATTTTTGCAAACTTGATCTACGAGGCTGAGTGTTGAGTATCGGAGGAGGGGGAGGGGGGAGAAGGGGTAAGTGAGGGTGCTAATTATGAATAAAAAGTTAGATTATTGATCCTATCGATTTTTGCGGACTTCGACCTAAGGGAGTGGGAGTTGATGAAGGGGGGGGGGGCAAAATGATGAGTCCTGTCGGAATAAGTCAACATCGACACAGCGTTTTTGGAGAGATTGTTCAAGATATTCGAATAGATCATTCGAATATTTTTATATTCGAATTTATCCGAACATCTATCCATTCCAATAAAACATTCGAGAATTTTCGATATCTGACCCTCAACAATGCTCGACTATAATCGATATTCGTTTATTTAAAACTTTATTTTCGAATTTAATTTGATACTTATCTATTTAAATTTTTCTATTTTCGAATTCAATTTTCAATATTTGTTTTACTCCAAGTTTTCAATTTTTTGACTAATTTATTCGAAATTTTCGATTTCGAATTCATTCGTTATTATTCATCCAATGAAAAATTTTGAATTCACGAAGTATAGTGTACAGTTTGTAGAATTTTTTCACAGCCACATCACCAGGGTTTTGGTTTTTCGTTTTTTTCGATATCTGATCCTAAACACTAGCCCTTACCAAAACTTCATGGTTATATTTTCTAAGAGATTTATAATATAGAATCACCAATCTGGGAGAAGCTCAGGACTGCTTTGGCGAAAGCATGTCGAATTTCTCCTCGATTTTTAGAGATAGAAAAATTACGAAACTGTGCATTCGAGTGTGTGGAGTAGAAAGGGTGTGTTGAAGCCTCTTGAAATTTTGGCTCGAACTTCACGTGAAATAAACTTGTTGCAATGATACGAGCTTTGACTTTAGAGCTTGCCTTGCTCTATCGAATCCTGGCGATATCAGTTTACTGCAAAAAACTTCTGCATGTATTGAAGCCTTATTAAATACCGACGGACTCGAGCGTTGATTTGGATTGAAAAATGATTCTGTATAATGAATTTCCCAAAACTGCTGTTCGTAAATTTCGCATTACAGTATGACTAGGATTTCCTACTCAAATGTAGTTCGAAAATCTATGCGTTTTAGCAAGTTTGCCTGTTTATCCGTTTCCCATGGCTTGAATGGATAATAATGTCAATACATGATAATTTTTTCCATTTTTTAGCGTTTTTTACAGACCAGGCATACGCTGTTTGTGTCATCACACACGAGTGTTCTTACGCAGTTTCAGGCTCGAACCTGACCGAGTCTGCACAGTTGTGCCAATATTTGCGGTCCAAGAGATGACTATCCGGGAATTTCTATGAACAAACAATAGAGGGCGTCTCATAACTAGATGGCGTAGGCAAGGATTTTTATCTCATTATTATCACTGCTCCTTCAACGCCTTGTAGGGCATACCGTATTTCTCACATTACAAGGCAGAATTCAGGCACTATCACGTGAGCCAAGGATATGTTATATGGGGTAGTTATTCTTGCTCTCGTCAGATCCAGTCATGGGCAGTGGGGCTACAATCCCTATGCTGTAGGAGGTTTCGGCATTGGTGAGTCAAAAAATTCTTTTTCGAAAGCGGAGAAGCTTTGTTGGCTGATTTGTAGTCAGTTATAGCAAATATACATTTGTGCTAACGATAAGCATTGTAAGACTTTATCACTCACCCATTCAATGATAATTTATTTATTTTTTTGCTGACTACGGAAATATCAGGTTAGCGGGTAGTTTCTATTCTTTTATTTTTATTGAAAATCTAAGGAACTTTTGGCATTTTTTATGTTTTAGGAGTGTAGACGGGATACAAAGATCTACCCGCCGGTACTGTCGAATCCGCGGTCGCAAAATACCCATTTTATCGTTGGGAGTATGTTTTATGAATACCTTTGTCAGAGGACTGGCACTGTTCCAGGTGATGGGAAGAGACCGGACGATGTGGTATTCGGGCAGGGGTGTGTATCAGTGGCGTACCCAGGACGCCCCCGAAAAAATTTTTTTATAAGGCTAATTTGAATTTTTAAAAAATTTAAAAAATTATTTTAATTGTTTAAAAAAATAAACAAGTCATTTGCACATTTTTATAACACATGTAAGTAATTTTCAAAAATTTCGCGACCTGTTCTCGGGGGGGGGGGCGCCCCCCCCCCCGCCCTCCCCCTCGGTACGCCACTGGTGTGTATATATGTCTAGAGGCGCGATTTCTATTACCAGAGGGACACCGAATAGCACATAATAAGTATTTTACAACATTGAGAATATATTTTAAATTTGGAAGGAGATATGTTAGATAGTGCATGGGTTGTTTGATCTTAATAACTTGGAATCAATTCAAAACATCACTTTTGAAGGTAAAAAACCCTTGAAATTGCAGCTAAGAATATATTCGTAAATATTTTCTTCCGTTTTCCAGCAAAAACCACCAAACTTAGCAAGTGGTAATCTCAGACAGAGTGTAAGCTACTGCATTTTATCTGGTACTTTTTGAACACTCGCATAGCACTAAACTGATGTTTTGGGCTGGTGACTATGGACCTAATCAGGGTATGGTCCATAGTTCTTAGGGATGTAGGAGGATGGCACAATAAGTTCACATGAGCTACATGGTGCGCCATGTCAGCGCACATTCGCATTTTTTAAAATTTTAGAAAGAATTATTGCCAGTTTCTCCGAATCAAGTCCTACACGACGCACAAAAAGATTTTCGACGAATTTTTGACTTTTTTTTGTTTCTCACGCTTGTTTTTGGCGTGCTAGCTGTAAGTGCTGCCTGCCATAAAAGACGATACGAAAATATGTTCTAAAAACATTATGGGAAAGAAAATATACAATTTAACACAAAGAAAAAAATTGGAGAAATGTGCTTTTTAAGCTGTCGTAAACTTGCAAGCTATTTGTGTATTTGGGCATCAGTCGTACGCCCTGCCGTAGCCTACATATGGAGCAAACCTGAGGTTTGAAGGACATCTGGAATTTTTCGGAATTTTACAAAAAAAGAGTAACAGAAATTATCCGCCAATCTGATATTTTTTGTTGAAAAACCATATCATAATAAAATTTATTCCACTTTGTCTCTGTACATGTTACAATTCCAAACTCAAGTTAATGACATAGAGCCAAAGAATGAAAATGTAAGAATAACGAAATAACAAAACCTTATATGCACAGTATCTGCTTTTATCATTTTCTAGTACTGCCACTCGCAAAAAATTTTTACAGCCCCACCTCCTCCACCTAATACGAACGTTGGCGTGGGTTATCCGACGGCATATGGTCTATCCCTTGGACGAGGAAATAGCAATGTGGCTGTAAGTTCTTTCAATAGGAACCAAAAGGCGATTATATAGCTGTCTGATCAAAATATTCGCTTATTTTGTGTTTCTTTCGTCTTAATTTTTCATTTTGCTCTAAAAATTTAGGATTTTGCAAAAAATAGGTTAACTCGTAAAACGCATTATAACTGAGCTACAAATTCATTTAGCCGCCATCACCATCGCTCAGCAGTTCTGTACGCTGCCTGAATGGTGGAGCTCATATTGGTCAATGCCGTCTGGACAACGATGCTATTTGCACAGCTCTGGGAGGAGGATGTGTACATGGAGCTTGCTGTACTACTCCTTTCATCGGTTTGACCACTGGTGCAACTACTGGGCCGGAAGTTGACGGAGAGGTTAGAAATTACGAATTATTGAGCAATTTACCAAAACAGAAGTTATTAAGGTGACTAGGAAGCCAAAGAAGCACACCACAAGAGAAACACCTGCTGAAGAGCAGAGAGTGACTACGGTAAAAAGCAATTCTACATTCATTGTTTTTACGCAAAGACACCATATTTAGGTCAGCATTCTAGAAAGAGCAGAACTACAACGCCTCCTTGAAAATGCGAAGACTACAGTAATTCCGGATCCGGACGAGTTACCGTACAGCCGAGTAAGTAAAAAATTATCCCCTTTCAATAGAAAATGTCTAAGTACATAGAACTGCCTCTAGCCTCAATTCTCACATTGACTATATCTTGAAGTTTGTGAGATGGATACAGCAATAACAAAAGCTTAAGTTCCAAAAAAATTTTTGAATCATACATGACCCCATTTGGCACTTATTTTTTGTACTCGGCCACATTTTCTGGGAATTTTCGACGTCATGATTGGAAAAAAATTGAGAGGATTTTCACAAATTAGTAGTTTGTTTGAAAGATTTGGGTGAATATTTATCTGCTTTATTGAAGAGAATAAACAGTCCCTAAGTTTTCCGTTCCCTCCCCCTTCCTCTTCTTTCACTCCCCTCATTTCTTCATGAAAAGGAGATACAAACGTCATAGTTTGATTGACTTTGATAGCCGATCTAGTAATTATGGCTAGTTAATTCATTTTGCATCTTTCTTCCAAGGTCATTGTTTGAGATATCGCCCTATTTTTTATTTATTATTATTTATATTATTCTTTTTCATTATTTCAGCTTTGCACTTCCGGTCTGCGGCCAGTCGGTCCGTGCGTTAATAGTGACGACTGTCCAAGTCTGCATCTATGCGAAGCGGAACAATGTTGCTATATTATATGATTCTATTTATTGCATAATTTTATCTGCTTTCAAGAAATGTAAAAATGATAAAGCATATAGCACTTGGATTGATTGATTAACAAGGCAAATGATAGTGAGCATCGCAATGTAGCTCACAGGCTGTAACAATAAATGTAAGAAAATGTGGGCGAAACGAATTGGCACAGGGATGGCAAAATTCAAACAACAATCAGAGGATTCTACCATAAGCTGCGAGACTGATCAGACTACGATTAACCCAAGGTAAGCCAAGGTAAGAGTCACAGGGTGATGTACAAAGATCGAAAAGTTCCTTACCAATCTCTAAGCATCTGAAACAAGTAGATGAGGCGTGTTTTGTCTTTGGCGATCACCTGAATGCAAACAAGAAAACAATACAGGCAGATTTTTGTTGGGTGGTAAGAACTCTTTGCGTATGAGTTCTCACTGCTTTCATCTTCTCGAAGTATACTTCTTGTAGCTGGAGTAGTAGCAGATAGCGGTCATGCCTAGGAAAAATTGAGTCAGATGGGAAATTACGGAAGACTTTTGATGCATTTTTGGAGGAAACTAAACGGTTTGAATTAATACAAATTGGAAAATTTTTTAAGCACTGACATTAGTTTTTGAAACTCGTGAAAAAATGCTAGTATTTCTGGCAAATCAAAAAAAAAGACCGGAAGCAATTTTGGTGTAATAATATGTTCGACGTTAGCAACAGCATCCTATGGCGTTCTTTGAAAGCCAAATATCAACAGTTTAGTATTTTTGAAAACACAACTTTCGAGCAAATCTACGAAAATTCGCACGATTAGATGGAAAAGGGTAAGCATTTCTATATCAAACTGAGGCCGAACATTTCAAAATTTTATCGAAAATTTCACATGTCAAAATCAAAAATCCAATATTTTTTTGGTAGACAAAAATTCTAAATTCAGACCAAAGCGTACATGTATGCATGACTATAAATCACCTGAAAATAATGATGGTTACTTTTGAAATCTGATACTATCCTACTGAGAGACGCAGTCGTCTTCCAAAATTATTTTGACCCATAAAATGCCCACTTCTTAGTTATCATTACCTATTAACAAGATAGAAAGCGCAACGGCAACTATGAGTATTGCAATCTCCACTGTTCGTAACAACTCGGACATCTGTTGCAGTGTCGCATTTAGATTTTCCAAAGTCTAAAAATTCCATCTATTCGGTGACTTTGATAGCCATAACTTACCGCATCTAGGGACATTCCTCAACGAGTATTGTCTGAGCAGCCTATGGTCGCCTGAAAGATGCGAACTAATGCGTATCCATGGTTTGCTTAAATTTATCTTTGCAGGATTAGGTCATGCGGCTTCAAAAATCAAGGCAATGTGATTTTAATCGATTTGAGTTTCCTGATTGTGGACGACTTAAAAAAGGCTCAGTATAGTCATTCAAGAGAGCTTGCTCTTGTTGACGTCTTGATTTTGAAGAAAGAGGAGTATGAAGAATTTTGTGAGTCTGAGAATGTTCATTCGATAAAAGCCAAAGCAATCACAGAGGATGAAGTATAAAGAAAAATTGTTATGGGCTAGAACATGGACGCACAAAAAGCCATTTCAGTGGGAATTTAAACGCTGATTCCAAATCTGCTTTCATTATCTGCTGCGGGTTTCTGGGCCAGGAGTTATGAAGTTTTTATGAGTAAAAAGTTAGATGCAAGATTAGAGTAAAATCAGTCGTAAGATTTTTTCTGGAGCTTAATTGGTAGTCGGGTACTCGGAGCAACAAATATTCCTGATAAACGTTAGAAAATGGTTACGAGTGATTTTATAAACTTGAATTTAGATTTGTACTCACAAAAACCTTCACAACTCCTCGATCAGAAGCGAAGCAGATAGCAAAGTAGATTTGGAGTCAGCGTTACAAGCTCTACAAGGTAGTTTACCTTCAGCCACTTCGACTAACCTCCTGAATAGGATCCGATAGCTATAAGAAAATCGAAAATTTATGGAGGCAAGTATAGAGCCACTTCAGATACGCTCCTTCTGTCCCTCTTTCTCTTGGTAACTGTATTTTGGATCATCCTTGGCACGGTGGATGCTAGTGGAGTGATTTGGCAAAAAAGACAGCACGATGGCTATGGTAAGCTGCCTTTACTAAAACTCTGATAAAACCCAAACCTCGAAGAATCATTCAAGATACGATGGATACGGTGGATGCTATGGACCTGGATGTGCAACCTATACACCTTGTTCTCATGGCAATGATGGTGGTTGGGGTGCTCACGGTGGATATGGATAGGTGGTTATGGCGGAGGCTTGGTGGTTATGCTATGGGTACAAGAAGTAGCCAATTAGAATGGTAGCAGATTCTTGGCGCATTGAGTGTTTCACATATAGCAGAAATCAAAATAAATATAGATTGGACATCACGTGACTGATTCGCATTCTTTTCAACGCTCCTATGCCTACTCATATTTTGAAGGACCAGAGCATCACCACTGCTTCGCAGAGGCTTGCACTGTTTGTACTATGTCTAGGTTCTTTATCTTTATCTCATACACGTAAACGTGTGCCAAAACCAGTGTAAGTAACGAGAGAAAATTGTCAGGGTAAGATAGTCTAGCCTGTCACCTCCCGCCGAGGAAACAAACTGAAAAGGGCTACCATGTCGAAAAAGAGAAAATCTATGGTTGAGGGAGGACACGTGATTAACACTAGGGAATGCCACTGCCACTTTTTTGGGCTGTTCAAAGCGATTGCGATTGGGGTTCTGCCAGGTAGTCACCTACCTCACACCACTTACGCTTTCATATATTGGCCAATTATTCTAAAGCCATGCGACTGTCTACGGTACCAAGGAGCAGTGCTATTGTTCATCCGAAAATGGGTGACAAGCCCGCCAAATTATGGTTGGTAAACACAATAAAATCGAGGAACACGAAACAAGACAAATCGAGAAACATGAAAAATGAAAATTTGCGGACCGGTTAGTAGCAAAGGGCTTCAGAAAAAGACTGTGGAAAAGGAAAGTCAGGAAAACGAAGTTGGAGACACACGTGGTCGACAAGCGGGAACTGAGCAAAATAGACCAGAAGGAAGCAGACCTGTAATGAAAGCCGACCAGGAGCAAATCACAAAGGATTATCAAGTGATTGGCAAATGTCAACTTTCCTCATTCTTTTATACACTTGTCTTACTCACTGTGTTGTTTATGTCTTACTCATTCCCGCATAATTTGGCACTGAAATTCATCGGGCGCTGATCATCACAAATGAATGTAAGCAATTACTCATTCCGAAAGTTTAGTTGTAAGATTAGTTTGCAAGTTTTGCAAGTTTTGGTCATTTTTGAATTTTATGGCTTGTAGCCGCCATAGGATAAATAATCACTGTAAGCTACAGGGTTCACAAACTGCAGTGTCGGCTGCACCAGCATCTCCTCTTCCGCGCGGCCGCTTCGCCTGGACTCTGCACATCTTTCGCGAACATGCTCTTTGATCGCACTCCCACCGCAAGGGTGGGCAAGGGCGGCTCCTTAAAGGCACCGTCCACCCTAAGTTGAGGGTATTGAGCTTTTGGCAGCATATAACAGTAGGGTCTCCTATCAAGCCAATACCCAGGTCGCAAAGCAAGATGCCGCTTCGGAAGCGAGAAAATCGCTTCGGAATAGCGAAGATGCACGAGGACCCCCATCCATGCCCGCCCATTTGTGCGCGCTCATCCAATACCGTTCTGGAAAGCCTGCCTGAAAGTTTTCCGGAATGGGTATTTTCGGGATTTTCGCGGATTCTCGACTTCATATTTGTAATCAGGGGCATGAGAAGGCCCTGAAACGACAAAAACCTGGAAGTCGAGAATCTGGGTGGACGGTGCCTTTAATCGATTGGAAATGATTGGACAGCATTTCGCGGAAGAGACGCAGAGTCCCGCGGAGCAATGGAAATACTGGTGCACCCGACACTGAAATTGATAAGCTCTGGGGCCGTATTCATCAACAAACCCAGTGGGTTCCTGAACCCGTTGGATTCGCGAACTCAGTGAGTTCCGTGGATTCGCGAATCCACTGGGTAAGATCTGTATTCAGAGGTGCCCTGCTGGGTTTGCCAACCCATGACGTCACCACTGTGCCTCCTCTTGTCGGTGAACTATTTTCCTCATTTTCCCACGCACAGGGATCGCGCTAAACTAAAAGCGTCAGCACGCTTGCCGCGCTTTCGGAAACTCTTATGTTCGAATGAATAACATGAATCAATGTCTCTCGTGCGACAAAACTTGCACTTCCCTTATTTTGTACTTTATGCGAGTATTCTTTCGGATCCACACATGACTATAGACAATCATGTGTGTGGAAATGGATGCAAACAGAAGGCTCTACTCGTTCTGTACAAGTGATCTTTCTTGTTCAGAATTGTTTTTTACCTCATAAGGAAGATATCAGCCACCTTTTTCGAAGACTGCACGGCATAGCTGACATTCACGAATCCGCATAGTTTCAAAAATTGTCATGGTGCAGGGAGTAGGAAAGTTTTATACTATGAATGCTTTTGCTGTAAATGACGAGTAAATCTATGCCCTTTTCCAACCTCCTACTTTTAAACGAAATTTTCATCGTCAGTGGCAAGTGCATATTCGCAAGAAGCGCTCGAGTCCTTTTTTCCATTTGTATTTCTTGTGCGAGGACGCCCGAATAGTAGAGGGTGTACGTTTTCCTCAGAATGGGGTTGCAAAAAGAGAAGTCAACTAATACGTGATTACCACAGATATCACTTGTTCCCTCCCCGTTGGTTCTTACTCCACTAGATTAGGGAAAAAAGGATTTTCATAAAAAACCGCTTTTTTCTTCTCTTGAAGCTTTTGTCTGTTGACTTAATCAAATGAAAGGAGAAACTTTCTTTTTTAATTTGCGGAATAAATGAACATAGACAAACACGGACAATAGACCCAAATACATAAACACAAGTGCAGGCAGACCCTCTGCTTCCCATATGAGGCTCCCTCTGTAGTTGCAGCAAAATCAGAGAAATTTCAAAATAGCATGAGCAAACATCGGCAAGTGCTTAGGGTCTCTACAATTTGACGCAAAAAATCTCCGTTAAAAAGCGTGTTTGCAACTTTTCAGAAACTGCTAAATTGTGACCGGCATGAAGTTACTAGTCCCACATCTTGATGGAATATCTTATGAAAATTTATCCAACAAAATTCTCTGTTATGAAAAATTGAAGAATATGGAAAGTGTTTTCAATGTATCATTGTTGCTATAAATAACCATCCCTGCTTATAAAAGTCTAATAACCATCCCTGCTTATATATATATACACAAAATATTCAGCAAAAGGACCGGCTTCGCATGTAACCCACTGAGGAATTTTCACCATGCTTGGATTCGCCAACCCAGCGCGCAGTGGGTTTCGGAACCCACGGAAACTGGGTAACTTATTCTGTGAATACCGGTATGCTTAAGTTTTGGGTTCGTTCGTGAATACCGGTTAAGTGGCGGAACCCACTGTGTAGATTCAATCCACTGGGTTCCGGAACCCACTAGTTTCGTGAACCGATTTTGTGGGTTGAGCCTGCCCAATGGGTTCTGGAACCCACTGGGTTCGTTGATGAATACGACCACTACATGCCTGCGCAAAAATTTTCGCAAATGCCCAGATTGAACGTTGGCAATTGACCTTTACGCAGTCAATTCTCTTTGGCGCCTTTGTAAATTAATCAACCTTTTGACCACTTTTTTGGGCTGAAGTTTATGGCTTGCACATAAGTCTGTCAAACTCAACTATGACTTTGCAGAAAGGGGTGATACAGACCCAATTTTGGCGGCCATAAGCCAAGTAGAACAGCCTGACCCGCAATCTCAATTTGCTAGTAATTTTCACCTTCACGTCAAAGAATTTTTTGACGTTGTAAGGTTAATATAGTAGGTTTCAACTCAGTTTAGGCAGGAACAGATCTGCGCCTTTTCATTCTAATCTACCTCGCTGAGCCAGTGGGAGTGCGTACGCGCTGCTCTTGAAACGCTTCGCCTACATTGGATTAAGACTGTAAGAACTCGGAAAGCTGCAATGTAGGATGATGTCCATGAGGACTCTCAAACTTGTCCATGGGATTTTCTTACTCTGTATTGTAAGCTGAGTTGCGCTCTTACAAATGCCCGTCGTAGAGCATAATTGAAGATCTCAGATCAAAGCGAACTCAACTGAAGCACTCAAACTTCGTGCAGATCAAAGCTCTTATGCCAATTAGCTTTTAGGATTCTGTAGACTTATGGTAAATAAATCGTTTCTGGACCTTAATAATTTCCAAAATTCACCAGCAATTCTCTCGGTTTTAAAGAAAGAGCCTACAGGTAATTTTTTTGTTGAGGATGATATGTGGGCATCTGTTAAGCATAACGGACAACTTATCCATAATTAGCATGTCAATTGACCCCTGTAGACAAAGTTTGAGCGATTTCTGAAGATTTAAGATACTAGCCCACCTAAGTGAAATGGTCATTTTCCAACATGATTAACTTCATTTCAAAGGTGAATTAGCCACCCGTTTTTGCACTCAAGATGAAGCACTACTTCTTCTTTGTATATTCAGAAACTCCTCTTCAAAAGACCTTCCACACTGTGGAAATAGAAGCCAACCAAAATCTCGTTTTTCCCATTTTCCGCTTTTGATGGCTGTGCTTTCATCAAATAATACACAGAGCTAAGTAGACGAATCAGGCTCAAATCACTTTTATTTAATCTACGAGATTTAGGCTATCGATTCAGAATGATTACGATAGAAACCAGTTTCCTCCTTTTTTGTTTCATCATTCATTGTTCCTCTGCAAAGAAACCACATTCAGGTCAGCATTTTAGAAAAAGCAGAATTACAACCTCTCTTTGAAAATGCGAACTACAGTAATTCCAGATTTGGACGAGTTACCGTACAGCCGAGTAAGTAGGAAAAGTCATTTTCTCAAAGCTAGAAGTCCAGGCACATGGGTTACCTTGATCTTCATGAAGTTTGTGAGTTGAACGCAGCAATATAAAAAGCTCAACTTCCAAGAAATTCTTGTGTCATAAATGACCCCTTTTGGCGAACTTATCCTTTGATTCTTGTACTTGGCCACATCCTTTCTGGGCGTCATAGTTGAAAAAAATCAAGTTTCAGCAGAATGAATAATTTTTGAAAGATTTGGGTGAATATAAATTTGCTTTATCGAAGGAATAAGCAAACACAAGGTTCTCCCCCCCCCCCCCCCCCTCCACCCCTTTCTCCCCTCATTTCTTCATGAGAAGGAGATTCATTTGACTACAAACTTCATTTGATTGACTCTGATAGCCGATCCAGTGATATGGCTAGTTAATTCATTTTATATCTTTCTTCTAAAGTCATTGTTTGAGTTATTGCCCTATTTTTTACTTATTATTATTTTTATTATTTTTTCATTATTTCAGCTTTGCACTTCCGGTCTACGGACCGTGCGTTGATAGTGACGACTGTCCAAGTCTGCATCTATGCGAAGCGGAACAATTTTGCTGCATAATTTTATCTTGTTTATTGCATGATTTTAACTTTCAAGAAATGCAGAAGTGATAAAGCATATATCACTGGGAATAATTGATCAACAAGGCAAATGATAGTGAGCATCAATCACAGTGTAGCTCAGGCTGTAACAATAATGCAACAAAATGTGAGGGAGAACAATAATTGGCACGCGGATGGCAAAACATAAAGAACAATCATGCAGTTTCTACCGTATAGGCTAAAAACTGGAACTGACTACTTTACCCAAGGTAAATTTCTAGGAAATATTCAAAATTATCCTTACAAATTGCTAAGCATCTGAAACAAGTAGATGAGCTGTATTGTGCCTTTGGCAATCGCCTGAACACGAACAAGAATATAAAAAACTGGTCAAATTTTGGTTGGATGGTAAGAACTCTTTGCGTACGAGTTCTCACTTCTCTCATCTTCACCTCGTAGTAAGCTATACTTCTTGTACTTGGAGTAGTAGCAGATAGCTGTCATACCTTGAAAAAAATAGTATTGGATATGGATCTTTGCTGATGCATTTACAAGAAACATGGATGGATCTTGATTCTCAGTTTGAATCGGTTGACAAGAGACAAAAGCTGTATTTCAAGACAGAAGCAGAAAGCAGTATAGGCAACAGAGTCTCCCTGCCCATCAAATGTTTCTGAAGTTTTTGAAAAATTGCGAATGTGAAATTTAAAAAATTGAATAGTGAGGTCACTTTTGAGAGAAAATTTGCAAATATTTCCGCAATCTTTTACAAGGAATTTGATCTACCGGGCACAGTTTGAACAATATTCGCCATCATCATAGCTTGTTTCTAATCAGCTACCTAGCTGCCCTGTTTGAGAAGAAGCTGTAATCAAATGGCTTTTTGGTGGCTGCTTGCATTGGTTCCTAATTATAGCTTTTTTCAACGCAAATTCTCGGGTGAAGTCAAAAAGAAAACTTCTTGAGAGTTCGCTTTTCGCAAGACGGAAAACTTATATTCTTATTTCGATTCTCACCTATCAACAATATGGAGAGAGCTACAGCCACTATGAGTATTGCAATCTCCACTGTCCGTAACAACTCGGATATCTGCTGTAGTGTGGCATTTAGATTTTCCAAAGTCTAAAAATCTGTTTTTTTCCTCGAACTGGATGTTCAAAACGTACCACATCAAGAGACATTCCTCAGCGAGTGTCGTTTGAGCAGCCTATGGTCTCCTGAAAGGTGTGAACTTAAGCGTAACCATGGTTTGCATAAATTTATATGCGCACTAGGAGCTGCGAGCTAAAGAGTTCTAGAGAAACAAGAAGAAGCAATGTCCCTCGAAATTTGGCCAGACTCTAGATGAAGGTTGACTTATGAATGGAACAATCTATAAGGACCCTTATACGCTAAAAAAAACAAATAATCACTTTTCCAAAAAAAAACAGGGAAGATTTGGAAAGGAGCTGTTTACCTCGCATCATATTTTCAGTGATTTTGTAAAAAAAAAGCAGACTCTTTAACAGAAAGTAAGGCATGTGAAAGCACCATGGCTGAAGAAAATGCTCAAAATAGGTAGTGGTAAATAGATCAGAAATGGGAAATGAGATTTGAGGCCAAGCTTGTATCTATTATATTTTGGAGCGACTGCAACCAAATAAAAACACTGGAGTTTGTTTGATTAAAGTGGTACGCTAAGGGTTTGGTGGAGACTATTGAATAGTTCTACTCTTCTGACAACTGCGAAACCTATAAACGGAGATTTGCTGTAGGTATTTGTTAGGATCAAGGAGAAGATCAAGGCAAATCAACTCGTGAGACTACTTCAGAGATGATTGGATAACGATTTTTCAAGAAATGGGAGTTTTGCTTCCCTGACAAAGTTTTGAGAAGTGAGTTATTGAGAAGCGAACAAATATGGAAGAAGATTTGGGAGCGACTTTTTAGGAAAAAGTGAGCAGGACGAAGTCTATCCAATTTTTGTAGAAAAATCTGAACTCTTCCGATAATTGCGAACTAGAATGTCCAGTTTCCTATTTTTGTCTATAAGATGAGTGCTTATGATGATCGTTTCCGGGTGCGCTGTGCAGAGTAAGTAGTAACCAGGTTATAGTTTAGTTCAAAAAATGGAAAAAAACAATTTTTGGTCCAAGAAGCGACAGCAAGTGTTTGAGCATCGCGATATTCATGTAATTCTCGGAGTAAGCTGCATTTCATTAGTCCGATCGACGATCGATCACAATCATAAAATAGGCGGAATATTCAGGAAGCTATAGTTGCTCGGAAGGCAAAATGATCTGAACAGTACAAGCTTCTTCCACTACTGCCTTTGAAAAATGAGGAAACTGGGGGAAATGAGGGGAAATGCATAATGAATGCCAAAACGAGAAAAAACAAGCAAGTGTTCAAGTTTGAAAAAAAGATTTGTTTTGCATGTGTACTACTATTAAATGCTTGAATTCCGTCCATAAACAAATTGTAAAAAAATCTGTTATGTTTTTTGAAAGAAGTGAACGAAGAAAAACTTTCTCTTGACGATGCGAACGCCAAATCTTCTAGACAATCGATGAAGCAAACGATAAGCATCGCTTTTCACAGCGTTCATGACCTAATAAATGGCAACTATTCTGTGAATGTTGGCCATTTATATAGAATGAATAGTTTTGGTCGGCGAAATGTTAACAATTCCAAGATTCCATTTCTTTGGTTGAGAGGCATTCTTAACACCAAAGCAATCCAAAGAGCATGCGTAAATTTTGTGCGGTAAACCAAAAAGAAGATCGTTAGAAGGAAAGAAATATTAGAAGTATTCGCTAGATTAAAAAATCATTGGGAATCCAGAAGATGACAAAGTAAGTAAAATTTTGATTTACTGTGAGCATAAAGAAATCCGGAAAACGAGAAAACATTGCGTTCAGAAATCGTAAGTGATAAAACATACTGATCTTCGAAAAATCTAAAAGATTTGATTTATAATTTAATACAAAATAATTACGCTTTTCAAAATTTTGCAAATCTAAATCCTTAAAATCATTTGAAGATATGTTTTGACTTGCGTAAGCAAAATGTTTTTTATGCTGTTCAAAATTCTTATGAAGTAATTTTGACTGGTCCAATGACTTCTACAAGGTAAGGTCGAATAATATTATCGCAGACATTCAGTTAGAGTGAAAAAAATAGCAAAGCTTCTAATCAAAAGTCTAATTTGCCTCCTATTTTCCGCTTGAGTACATTCCCCGTGGGAAGAAAGACAAAAAGCATTTAACGCACTAACAATATATAGGAAAACCCGCAAAGGTTCTAAAATGTGGCTGAAAGCAAGGTTGGAGTTTTTCTTGTAACCTTTCATAGCATGTTGAATTTTGAATGTGTCAAATTTTTTCCAAAATTGCAGCAGAGAATATGAGTGAATTGGTAAAAGCAGAGATTTTTGGAAAAAAGGAAAGTTTATAAAATCAAGACGGGCTTGTCATTTTTTGAATCTCTTTAAATCATATGCTTGCAGTTCTGAGTTTTCGATATTCTGGAAAAAACAAAAACTCAACAGTGGTCAATGTTTAAACACGAACGGAGAAGTTCTGTCGAATTTTAGCCTCAAAAATCGTTCGAAAAATGGTTCAAAATGAATGACTTCTTCAGAGTAGTACGTTTTCAAACAACGCGAGTAGAAAATAAAGCCGTCAGATAAGGAAACAGTCAGTGCAAAGCGATAAATAGACCGCACTTGCAAAAGAATTCCGTTTGATAAGGAAATGCAGAAGATTCGTGAATGTTCAGCATTCGTAGAATTTGAGACAAGCCAAAAAAGTCCAGAGCTGTTTGACTGCTCAGCTGTGCATTTTTACGAAATACATGTAGCGTAAAGTGCAACATGAAACTTTGCTACATAGCATTGTGATAAGGAAAAAAAATCAAAGAACAAGTGTTCTGATCAATAAATGTCTATAAAACATACGTTGCGTGATTTGTTTTCTTGACGAGGAACGATGCGCTGCAGTGTTATGCATAACTAAACTTACAGACAAAAGAATCAGTCGACTCTGATATGAAGTTTATGACGGTAACGATAGCATTCTAGCCGAACTTGGCAAGATTCTGGAGCTGAATATTGAAGAGCTCATTTTGAGCATCTAAACGACTCTCTGCAATTCTTAAACGTTACGTGTGTATTCGCCGCTCACCTCACCTACTTTTGTTGAATAGCGATGAAAATGTAATAATGTCCTAATTTCAATGCTTTTGATCATTTTGTAAGAAAGCTATCTCACAGCAGCAGTGCTCTCATTTATTATATCAAATTTCTGCTCTCATTTATTATATCGAAAAATTCCCACGGAAGGAAATTTAGCGAAATTCTCATTTGTTTCCGTCGACTAATGATAAACTTCGTATTGTACTTGCAAAGTGGTTTTTGACTAAAGTGACTGATGACAGTACGGCTAAGATAACGCGATATAAATTTTTCAAGGTTTTATCTGTATACTGTCCGTGCAAAACGCTGGTTGGTAGTCTTATAAATGAGTTCAATGTCTGTCTGTCTGCTTGTCTGTCTCTCTGTTTGTCTCGTTCTGATTTACTGTGGTTATTACGCTTGTAGTAGGATGATCAAAGAGATCTAATCGCTACCCATATGTTTCGTTTCTAACTAGATCTTGCACAAGAGATGTTATATCCAATCAAGAACTTTATTTAGGAGCAGAAAGACAAGTATCCGAACTAGTTTCAAACATAGCCGTGTAGGTAAACTCCATGCAAGTATTATGTGTAAATGCAGAAAGTATTTTTTATAGATGCCTTCATCCGAATTCTAAACTCGTATTACCTCCACATTTCCTGCTGAATTACTTATATCGAGATTTGACTGTAATTACACTTTGGATATGGCATTTAGAAACAACGTGGTCAACTCATTCTCAGACAATCGCCAGGGACAGGAACGCCCATAAACGGCAGCGGAACTGGTGGGGAAACTGAGGTGCGCCCCAGTGCCAGTCGATTGGAGCACGTTATTCTACGCGCACTTGGAGTTTTTGGGCACATAGCAGTCCTTTGTGGTACCTAACTCTCCTCATTGTCTGTATTGTTGTGCGGCAACGATACAGACAATGTTATAGACAATTTCACAATGTTTTGCTTGTCACTTTCCTGTACTATTTGTAAAAGGAGGTGATGGGTACGAGAAGGCATACTATTTGCAATACATCCGTCGTAGCTTTGCAAATTCTGTATTTTGCTTGAAGGTGGATGTTATAACGTGATTGGTTTGGAGAACGATTGTGAAGTTGACCATTGAAATTAATTTCTTCTCATCCTGCTCAGTTTCAGTGAATCTGCTATGCGAAACAATTATAGTTCTTTGGAGTACAGCCGGACATGTCAAGCGGCAGCGTCAGGAATGGCTGCAGGTTAGCAAACACACTTTTCACAAAAACGATTCGTTTAATCCCTTCATATTCCAGGAATTTTGAGACTAACAGGTATGCCTGGCTTTATCTTCTACTTCGTAACGGTGGCCATCCAAGTAAGTTTCTATGTTCTTTACATGTCTTCTTCGATTTGAATCTCTGAACTCAATAAAATATTATGACCGTTTTAGGCCTTATTCTGGGAAGCCAATGCATGTCAACTTTTTGAGGTAGTTCATATCTCCATTCAGGTCACAGAGCTCACGGAGCACTTGAGAAAATCGGAAAATTCGTTTGACTCGGACGCAACGGATTGTATTTACAGGGCCATAAAGGTAAAATTCTACCTTTTCTACGTGGTTGATCTTTTGAAATGCATAATCGTGAACAGAGATGGAGGGCAAAAACACTGCATGGGCCTAATGTAACGAATATCAATGGTGTTATTTTCTAGTAGTCTTTGCCCGTTCAGACACGTCACCTGATGCAATTTTTTTCATGAAGTTTTCAGATCATGGCTAGACAAACACAGAATAACTCACTTGGTTCACTGTGTTCATCACCAGTAAGGTCTCCAGTACCGGGCAAGGTAAACGAATCTCTGGAAAATGTATAGGTTGTTATTTCTTTTTGTAAGTTATCGGTTGATTAAATCTACGACAATATAAATTTTCTTTACTTTTAGATCGTGATAACTTAGCCACCGGGGATCACAGGATGGAAAATGAACTCAGCTTCAGCCTCACGAGCCAAGTCGGAGTTATCAGAGAAGGGGTCACAGGTTGGCATACTTTTTCTTTGCGTCCATCACCCTGCCTAGAATAAGTTTTCTTGGACTTTAATGTGCTTTCATATGCAAATTTTTATCTAGAACGAGCTGGAAACGATCGTACCACGTCTTACTCTGGAATTCTCACCTACCACGTCGGTAAATCATACGCCATTGCCCTCACTCCATAGTCAGCTGCTACCTGTCGACACACCAAGGTTACGCACAGGTATTGATGAGCCTTCACATTGTTGTCATCGGTGTTATAATCGACGTAGCTATCTTCAAGCTTCAGATTTGGTTTATCTTTTTCTTTTTGGTCTTGGTACAGCTTTGATTTTCTATTACTTTTATATTCCCCCTCTATACAAGGGTCAGGTGTATTTATCTCCTACCTCTCTATCTTGCCACAGCTCTTTCGATGATTCTAGTTGTATATGGTGTATTAGCAATGGTAGCCGTTTTAGCGGAGTTTTACAGTCTACAGGTCTAACGTCATAGCTATTAGATTCACTTTCACTATCCTCAGCATTCTTTGGATGCTTCTTTCTAGTGCAGCTTTTTGAATGTTCGTTTTTTGAATGATTGTCACCATATTGATATAAGCTTTATAGTGAGCATCTTAGCTCTGCACATAATAAACACCTATTAAAGAGATGAGAAATTAACCTGCACAATGCACACAATCCCTGATTGAGGTTTGCATGATACAGAGGAATCACATCCCTATGCCGTTTTAAGGCCTAAGTCGTCAAATAAGAGCTTTGAGAATGAGATCAGGAACATCCGTTGTTTGATCCTCTACTAAAACAATATCGAAACCATCCAAATAAAGTTCCAGCAATCTTTCAGCCTGAAGAGGTTCATGAACAGAAGAATAATACTTATCAGAAACAGAAAAACATCAACTGAATCAATTACGTTTATTTAAGGGACATTCAAAGTCTTCGTCTATGTAGTTGTAAGATGTTTTTTCTTCTTCTCCAGTCTTAACTGCGCCCTCTAAAAAAGACAATGTGGCTATGAATGGTCATCTGTTCCAAAACTTACACTTTTATACTGCGGTTGTATACGAGACGGCGCCGGACCAGCCCCGGTGGTCTGCATCACTGCCCTCCTCACAAAACGGTTTTCAAAAGTCTCCAAAGTTGCTGCTACCCTTGCTACCTACCAGTTTACAGAAGAATAAGAGCGTTTCCTCTGGACGAATGCGTAGCGACAATGTGAAGGCACAGACTAAAACACATGAATTAACGTGAAAGCATAAAGTAAACACAAGATATCAACGAATGCGTAGCGACAATGTGAGAGCACAAACTAAAACACATGATCTAAGCAAGAACTGAAACAAGAGTAAAACATAATGACTATTGCGGATACGAGCAACAAAAATGAGATTTCCAGTATTGTATTGTTGTAGTGATGCTATGCATGCCGTTTGAAAGGACAAGGTGATAAACCGTATTGCGGCGACTGTTTCTTGAACTGAAATGAACTTAATCCAAAGAACTATAATTGTTTCGCATAGCAGATTCACTGAAACTGAGCAGGATGAGAAGAAATTAATTTCAATGGTCAACTTCACAATCGTTCTCCAAACCAATCACGTTATAACATCCACCTTCAAGCAAAATACAGAATTTACAAAGCTACGACGGATGTATTGCAAATAGTATGCCTTCTCGTACCCATCACCTCCTTTTACAAATAGTACAGGAAAGAGAAAAGCAAAACATTGTGAAATTGTCTATAACATTGTCTGTATCGTTGCCGCACAACAATACAGACAATGAGGAGAGTTAGGTACCACAAAGGACTGCTATGTGCCCAAAAACTCTAAGTGCGCGTAGGATAACGTGCTCCAATCGATTGGCACTGGGGCGCACCTCAGTTTCCCCACCAGTTCCGCTGCCGTTTATGGGCGTTCCAGGGACAGGCGGTCCGCAAACTCGTGCTTTCTTACAGGCGGTCAGCAAAATTTTGAAGTGTGGCCAAACCTTCAGCAAGCGGTACTTCCTTTACAGTTGCACGTTCTGCCGGTGGGCAGCAATACGAAATATTCTGCGAGCGGTCATCAAATAATTACTTTCATCGAGCGCTGGCCAAATTTTCAGCAAGCGCTCTGACGCTCGTTACGCAATTTCGGGGGTACGTCGAGCAAAGGTAACACTCTACATGGCAGAGGTGTCATATATGATTCAATTACCCGAGTTCGGGGTACTTTCTTCTAGCGGAGGTACCTATGGGCTGTGCGGTCCTCCACAAAGGACCGTGCGGCCCCCAATGATTCTGCATAATCCCGCGGAAAGTCCGCGAGAATGCGGCCACTGCGCCGCCACTAATTCATGAAAAAGCCGCAACTGTTCTCTGAGCATACGCCTAAAATTTCGCCGACATTCTTCCATATATCTGCAAGCGGACCGCAAAAAACCAACGAACTATTCTTCCTGTGCCCGCTTACCCAAAAATGCATAGCCGCCTGTCCCCGGCGATTATCTGAGATAGCGGTCGAAGCCTTTTGTTATTAACATACCGAGCTATAAATTGCAATTTTGTAAACTAACGACATACAACAACATTTTTATATGCAGTGATAAATACGCAGTAAGAAAACGAATAACCACAGAGGAAAATAAAGCTATTATGTAACATAAAGTGACGAATTTGTAGTACACGATCATGCTAATGAGTTCGCGGAGTGTTCGTCTAAAGAAGCAGAACATCTTCAATGCATTACCCTTTTTCAGCCTGGAAAAGAGGATGATATAACGTTAGCGACCTTTCCATAGTTCCTGCAATCTTAGAACACCACCTATCTCATTGAAGAAATTTCTTTAAGAATTTCGCGAAATGTACTTATGAGATTTGTATTATAGATCGTTGCACCAAATTGTACCCTATCGTCAAAAAAAGAGTTTAGCAGTCGGAGTACCCACCTAATCATGCAAATAACACTCAGAAAATATTTACCGTTACTGAGAAAGCTTTACATCAATTTCTCGTCATTTTTCTAAGACTACCCTTTATTCTCTTCTGAATCTTCTGAACATCTTCCTTTGAAAGGCCGTTTCAATAAAGCTGCTCATAAGAAAATCTCCAGCTATCCGGACTTTGTTTTATTTCTTTGTATGACCATATCCATCTGATCGCCCTAGACTCTTCCCTGGACAGAGTCACAACTACCTGTGTAGCCTCATTGTGATTGCATCAAATAATGACCGCCTCAGATGTGCTTTCGTGCTAAGTTTACAAGTTAAGGCTGAGGCAACCTCTTTGGTATATCAAAATAACTTTTGAGAGGAGCATATAGTGATTTGGTTCTCCCGCCGCGCTTCTTCATTCAAAAAACTTGAGTCCTCCTCCTTCTCCCACTCCTCTCAGAAAAAAGTTTTTTTCGACCGAGACTGATAAATGTAAAGGCGACTACATGACGAAGGCGCAGAAGCGGTATCAGTTGAGCGGGCGCGAACGCAGCGCGCGCGTATTTTTACCGTTGTACCTGCGCCTCGTGCGCTCTGTGGCTAATAAAACCGCGATCGCGCCCAAAGGTATTGCGCCTTCGTCATGCGGCAGCCTTTATGTATGCAACTGTAAATGTGTACATCTAATTAAGGTCTTGTTTTACTGCACCTCAATAGATCTGTCGCCCGTTTTTGTCTTCGAAATCTCGATTCCGTCATCGCTCTCCTCCACATCCCTTTCTGATACATATCCGCCTCTAAAATGCGTTGGATATTTGTTCGTTCAATACCACTGATGTATGTATTTGCACTCTTACTGTAGACTGCGCCGTCTTTCATGTTTTCTTTCTGCCCTCGCCAACGCGTAGAAGTCTTCCACGTTGAATTCAACAAGACATAGAAGTTGCTCTCTAGTTTCTACCATGCCACATCCAAGCCCAGTATAAGCAAATTTCTAAAATTACTTTGTTTTGAACATATTCAGCGCTACATGCAATTGTGAAGTTGAAACTGTAAAGTTGATCTTTCGACTCAAATAGGAAGAGATTTGGTTGCTATATACAAGCTTTGGGGCGAAGCGGTGGTTCCTAATGTAACGGTGGGACTCAAGCCATGTCCATTTTCAACCTCAAGACAATATGAAGGACAATGCGGACACCAATTCAGGAAGCTGCGTTGCCACAAGGACTAATGAAAGTCAAAATACAGGGTTTAGATAAAGTTCCCCTTTTGATTAAATTATATAATTTGCCTGGCTCGACTGATTGGAGCTGAAAGAATTGTTGCGTTTGCTGCAAAAAATTTTGCTATTAGCAAATGTGGAAAAATTGATATGAAAGCCATTGAGGAGAATATATAAACATATTTGCGATTTGTAAAGACTTTAGAGAAATTTTAAGGACAAAGGGAACTACTAAGCATTAACCCAATCAAAGTGGGTAATCTTGTCAAAAACTTAGTTACTCTGCGAAGAGATCTACAGTCAACGCTACAGTCGTAGGAAACGTCATTCCGAAACTCATCATTACGAGCCTAAAGCAGATGGGAAATCTTACCCGAAATTTCTCTTTTTTACTTTGTTGGAGCTTATTGAAGAGGTTGCCTCTGTCTTTTAGAACTTTGTCTCTGAACAAATAATTTCAACTGGGTCAGAAGAATGGGAGAATCTACTCACTTTGGTAACTCGAAAAAGTTGAAAAATTTAGCCGTTTTATTTTTTTTCAAAACACGAACTGTCGTGTTCCAATCGCTGGTATTAAGTATGTCTCTAGCTTCGCATCCGAGATCTCGCTTGTATTGCTGAAAATGACGCTCTTAAATGTGCACAGCTATGTGTTGTCGCTCTTCAAGGCTGATAAGTCTAATCTAATGATAATCTGCCAAACTGGCCGGCGGATATCTAAACAATTTTGGCAGCTCTACTTTTAGTTCACTCCTGAGACTACGATTAAGGCCGTCAAGGCAACGGCAGGCGATATTAGGGCCGTCTAGGCAAAGACAGGCGATACTTGGCAAGATCTGTAAATAAGAGTTTATCGTATCACAGGTAGATAAAAGAAAATTTTGACTTACAGCAAAAAGCATCCAGTACCACATTCAGAACTTTTCTGCATCCACTAAAAAGTGGTTTTGAGCAACCTTCGTTGAACCTCTAGATTATCGCAAAACAATAATTTATTTGAGTTTTATAATGAGCGTCAATCTTTAAAGTGCAGTAAAAAGTACATGGTTGATAAACATTAAATTCAACTTATTGTATTAGAATCTCTGCGAGCATTTCTTTTTGAGAAAGCGCCGAAGACACAAAATCAATGTTGTGCTGAATCTACAAAAATACCTAGGTTATAAGATGATTTATAGGACGTGTGAAAGTCTCAGTGAACTATAGAGATGGAAAAATGCCAACGAAGGAGGGTTAGTCGAAGTGGCCGATCACCAGAAACTGCATACTCTTAATGAGAGCTTAAAGCGCTGATTGCAATTCTACTCACTCATCCTATCCTATCCTAGCAGAGCTCTTCTGAGAAAGGAGTTATGAGAATTTTTGTGGCGCAAACATGAACAGATTTTTTTTGGATAAAATCAATCGCCACAGCTTTTCTAGATCTCAAATGAAGCAACGGCAAGTATTAGGACACTTCATACAATGAACTCATTTTGCTTAGTTCATCAGTGCTTGCTACTGCTCCAGCGACGCCTGAAAAGGCCGTAACGGTTTATCCAGGTAGTTAGTTCATTTTTTCGCCCCGAAAATGCCCATAACTTCTTTCCCGGAAGGGCTCTGCAAATAGGAAAAGCAGAACTGGAATTAGCGCTTCACGCTCTCACTAACTGTATGCAATATGTGGTAAATGGCCACTTCGACTTTGTGACCCTCGATTATAAGACATCAAGATATTTGATCAAGCGAGATTATGTAAGCTATAAGCAATAAGTAGTATTTTCGTAACACCGGTGATTGACCGAAGATTCAGAAACCTGTACCTCGACTCATAAGGCATCGCATCTGCAGCTTTAAGTACTCAGCTTTGAATACTGAATTGAAACCAATTTTGTAAAGGTCGAATATCGGTTGGCCAATAAGATCCAGCTATTCATATCCATCAGCGTTGGTTGGTTTGTTGATAGTTTCTCTGCATATGTCACGCCAAAAAAGGTCTCTAGCCCTATTTCCAAATGCGAAAAAACCAATCGACAGTTCGTATCCTCCCACATGTACGCCCCGAAGTTCATCAAATCGAGCCACATCATAAAATGCATAAAAATCGCTTGTGCCTTGTTCCTTCAGTAGAAGCATGTCCTATTTTTTCAATATGTCCTGAATACTAGTTTAACTACCCAACTTTAAGCGTATAAGACGCAGCTTCTTCGGTTTCTCAAGCGTGCCGCTCAGCCGCCTCGTTGTGTTTCGGAAAACGAGACTTAGGCCGCACAGTACTCTTAAGCATTATGCAGCACTATAAATATTAGGTTGTCCCAAAAGTAAACTCCATTTTCAAATAAATTGTAAACTCCATTTTCAAATAAATTGAGCTGTTCTTATTCTCCTACCAAACTTGAGGTACCATACGATAGAGCGGAGCAAACTCTACAAAAAGACCACCAAAGGTCCACGTAAGACGTGATCCAGGTAAAATTCGGAGACAAAAATCAAAATTTTCAACTACCCTAAAAATCGGATCTCCTCCCAGAGAATTCCTACGGACCTCCAACCTGGTCTTTATAGAGTAGACACAGACTATGTAGTGTCCAAAAATGTATTTGGCGGATTTTTTTCGAGACTCAAAACTGAGAAAAAAAGATGGTCAAAAAATGCCAAAATCCCCCTTTTTTTTCGGGTTTTTCAAGTAAAACTTGATATTGCTCGATATAAGAGCCATACAAGGGTAATTTTTTCAAATTATACTTAATAAGCTTTGTAGTATACAATGACATATTTGGGAGGGGCTGGGGGCGGAGTTTGCCAGTTTTGGCAATTTATGTTTCTCGCTTTCTATGCACGGAAAAAATTCGGTAAGGCACATTTGAGTGCTACTATGTGCCTTCTACATAATGACCAAGTTGGAGGTCCGTAGGATTCTTTATCGCAGAAATCCAATTTTCAGGTGACAAAATTCTTTCCGTTTTTTGCTTCAAACTTTCCACGGAATGCGGCTTAGGTGAATCCTTGTTAGCTATGTAGAGTTTGATCTGCTCTATCGAATGATACCCTAAGTTTACTGGGAAAACAAAAACAGCTTGAATTATTTGAAAAAGGAGGTTACTTTTGGGATAAACCAATAGTTTTTTGGTTGCGAAGTCTTTCGGCGCGTCTGTGCTCTTCGATTTTAGTAAAAAAAAATTCCCCGTATTCTATACGAATGAAATTAGGTTAATAAGAAGCCATTCTACATTATTGTGTTTCATGTATCCTGAGAGGTATTTAGAATGTTTTTCGTGTTTGTGCAGCAGAGCTTGCATCGATATCAAAACTTGTGATTTCGGACGTCGCACACGCGCCAAACAACTGTGCACTAATGTGGATATATCCATTCAAACACCCCATCCTTTTCAAACACATTTATAAAGTGCTGCCCTCAGTTTGTGACTAACCAAAATATTGGAAAATGTAACAAACTTGCTAATTCCTAAAATGCGTTTGACAGGGCCGGCGCCGCGTAGTGCAGTCACACACCTACGCGCGTGCGCTACCGTGTGCTGCAGCAGGAACCAAGCGGCGCAAAACGGCGTGGTCTTTGTTTTAGCTACTCTTCCTGCTTCTTTCCTAGCTTAGTCGCTCTCGTGCTTTCAAATTTCTGAGCTTTTACTGTCTGAAACTCTACTTTGGTACTTCCTGACATCTCAAATATCACCGTGAGAATGGAAGACCAAAAGGAGTGTAAAAGGAAATGTAATCAAAATCATTTTATTTGAGAGTTCTGAGAAATTCTGGGACTCTTTCTCCTAACAGCTAAAGGTAAATAAGTGAGATGTAATTGTATATCGTACATGGAGAGGCGCTGTTCACTTAAACTGTTCTTAAACTGTTTTTCCATCCGCTGAAAGATGAGTCAATATAGTAAATCATGACATCCGGAATCAGCCATCCGAAGAAGGCCTGGATGAAATGAAAGATGTCATTAGGAAAGACGCCCAAAGATTTGATAGCTCCTTCCTATGCTGCGGAAAAAATCATATCCTTTATCAAAACAGATCCCATGTGAACATGGAAGCAAGAAAAATGACAATCCGCTGCTACAAAAACGGAAAATCATTAGTTACAATGGTAAAAACAAGGCCCGCGATGTTGTGCGCAGCATGGTCCCTGCACGCTGCACGTACGGTAAGGCCCGCGCGTAAATGTGTGACTGCACTACGCGGCGCTGGCTTCTTTAAACGCATTGTATATCCGTTCAAAAAATAACTGAGCTACAGATTTCGCCATGATATACAATTTTACAATGTTCATCTCTTTCATGTGCCATCGATGCTAGTCACTATACCCAGAAATTGGATTCGTTGTAATTTGATAGAGAAAGTAATCTCGTTGTTTCAAAATACCTGTTATGAATTCATCTAATAGAGTTTGGGATCGAATATTGGTGCTCCCGCACTTCCACTTTCAATCAAAAGCCCGATTTAAAAGGTTTAAAAAACAATCCAACTTCAAAGTTCTGTCTCTGACCAGTAACTAACAAGGGAATGGTCAGAAGTCGAAGTGGCCAATTTAAACAAGCTGCACGCCGTTAGATGCAGCAATCAACGGTGATTTCGAATTTGCATCCTTATCTGCTTCGCGCCTTTGTGAACGAAGTTATGAGCAGTTTTATTGCGAAAAGATCGCACATAAAAATTGCGCAATTGAGCACATTGTTGCACTTTCAGCTCACCTTTGGGCTTCAAGAATATAAAGTAACCTAGCTGCATAATGTGGCTCAGCATTAA